GGTTGGGTTTACAGAATGTTAATATCGAAGTTGATTCTACTCTTGTTGTTCATATTTTTTCTAAGAATGATGTGAGTTTCCCTCAAGAATTTTACACTATAAGAAAAATTAGAATGGATCTCTCCTTACTTAACTTTACTATCTCCCATATTTATCGCGAAGGTAATGCGTGTACGGATTGGCTTGCTAACTTTGGTACTGAGAGTGAAATTTTTCTGGAATATTCAGTTTATGATATTCCAGTTCCTCTTAAAGGCATGATTATACTTGATAAAACTGGTTTACCTTATATTTGGCATAAGTAGCTTAATGTTTTTTGGGTCTATGCTGTTTTTGTCGGGGTTGGCTGGTGGTTGTGCTGCTGGGTTTTTGGATTTTCCGTTAGCTGGTAGGTTTTTTTGTTGTCCTGGTTTCTGCTGGGGTCTGGTGGTTCCCTTGTAATTTTTTCTGGGATTTTTGGATGTGCAATGAGGCGGTGGGGTTTTTTATTTGCTGCTATTTGGAGTGGGCTTTGTATCTTTTATGCTGGAACCTTATGAAATTTTTGTGGTGGCTATTTAGCAATTTCTATTTCCATAGTATTCCGAATGAGTGCCAGAAATTTATCTGTTTTCTTTCTGATTTGGAGGCTGGTAGTAATAGCTTATGGGATTACAATTGCTCTTATGCTGATTCTTTAAATGGGAGTGGTTGGACGGTTTGCTTGTATTCTTGGAGTATTGGGTATGAGCTTGTTCATCTGGATGGTAGCCAGAAGGTTTTTTACGTTAATAGGAAGTATTGGGCTTTTAATTCTTATAATTTTATTATTACTCATATCCTTTTTTGGAGTGCTTATTGCAGGAACAATTTTAATGCTATCTTAGGGAGCTTCAAGGATTGCAAGGTACTCTTAGTTTATACTTTGTCTTTTATTTCTTTGGATATCTGGTGCTTTGTTTGCAGGAAGATTGAGCTGATCAGAATATTGAAGTTCTTCCTTTTTTGGGTGTTGTATACTCACAGCCCTAGGTTTTCTTTACGCATTTCTTGTACTCGTAGTTTTAGGAACCTCCGGCTCTTAGGAATTTTTGTTTCTTTTTTGCCTGTAGCTCTTATGAGCAGTAGCGAGCTAGAGGGTCCTTTTAAGGATCTTGTAACCGATTTTTGATATTAACGCGTAGGCCCCTTCGGTGGGTTTTATCAAAAAAAAAAAAAAAGTCTTATAACTCACCCAATTTAAGTGCATTTTCAAAGGTTACAAAACTTTTAAATATTTATAATCTATATCACTGAACCTTGCTTCTTATGAAAAATCACATTAAAAACCTACCCAAAATTATTAATAATGCTCATAATCATTGTCACATGAAACTTTTAAACCCAAAAAATACTAAAAACTAAATTTCATCCAACTTTAATATAGCTCAGTCAAACCAAACTATGAGACCCCCTCCAACATATCTAATATATGAAATGGAGTGTATTGAGCCTAACCCAACCATAGGGATTTGTTCCTTCTTAGGATCCATATTGATCTTTTGGATAGTTAAGAAGCAAAAAATATTTTCTCGATCCTCCATTGAAGTTCAGTGTCAGTCATTACCATTATGATTAACACTGACACTCTATAGCTTAATAGACTTATACAAGAACTCAACATACTGCTTCCATCTCCTCATACACCCCTATATTGTAATGATATCTTATCAGTTACACTCGTTAATAATAATTGTTGCGTCCTGGAGTATTCGCGACGGTAGAGAAATATTTAGTTTAACGTCTTAGCATTGTACGAAGATCCAGCACACAAACAGATAAGTAAGAGGGTGTAGCATTCATAAGAGACACCAAAGTTTTTACGTGGAAAACCCCTAAAAAGGGGGAAAAACCACGGGGCTTGGCCCAGTTTGAATGAATCCACTAGTATTTGCAGTCGATTACAAATGAGGCCCTTCCTTGGGAGAAGGCCTTGGATTGATGTAGCAAATCTACATCATATAGATTACATTATATGGTAGGAATTACATATACATGTTTGTCTGGTCGGAAGGACCGCAGTCGGCAGGAGACCGGGGTCAGAAAGACCATTGTCTGTTGATGGAGGTCGGAAGGACCATAGTAGGCGACGAAGGCCTGAAAGACCGAAGTCGGTAGGAGATTGGGGTCTGAAAGACCGTTGTCTGGTGATGGAGGTCAGATGGACCGTAGTAGGCGACGAAGGCCTGAAGGACCGTAGTCGGTAAGAGACTGGGGTCTGAAAGACCATTGTCTGGTGATGGAGGTCGGATGGACCGTACGTAGTAGGCGACAGTGGTCAGAAGGACCGTAGGCGGTAGGAGATAAGGAGTCAGGTGTTAGTCCCAGTGTCACTTGGAAGATCGGACTTGGGTTGAATTTGGTGTCGTTGGATTCGTATTTCCGAGACGCTCAGTTTGACTATAAGCTTGCTGAAATCGGAGATTGGGTGCTCCCAAAATTAATTTTTGAAGTTTCCAACTAGCTTTTGCCTCGAGATTCGTGCTCGATCAAGATAATTTTTGTGATGTCGTATCAATAATAAATTCAATGTGTGCATAAAACACATTTAGGGGCTGCATTAAGGATAGCACTATCATAGTTCATCATCTTGGTACTCAATATAATAAACTAAATATATTCATTAAGCCTCTATTTATCATAAGATTTCATTTATTCAAAGACTAATTAACAGTCAAATATTAGCCCTTAATTTGAAGGGGGTTTATAAAGACTCAAACAATATTCGTTGTGCAATAAAGTGCCTCTTTTATCACCCTAGCCTATCTAGCTTAGGAGAAAAACCATTATTCTTCATTCTTAGGCATACAATTCAAAGTTTTGCTAAATCAGTGAGATTAATTTATAGTACTTTTATAAAATAAATTATCAAGGAAGTATTTTGGTATCAAGTAATATTAATGCCGATTTAATTTAATTATATTTGTGAAAGAGTGATACTATATGCCATGAAATTTATTATTAAAATTAGATCCTTAAAAATTTAGCCATTGAATAAAGTCTATGATTGTAGTTTTATTCAATGCCAGCAAAAAAAAATGTTTAAAATTTTTTCCTTTTTGAAAACTTATCTAGCCTTATTTTTTTGCTTGAATTGCTTTCATTATTGTGATCCCTAATATTCTTCATACAATGAGGCGTTTATGAGCAATAGCTCCTCGCCATTTGTTAGTTCTAAAACTTAGCAATTCACAGTAACTCTTTACCTAGATTATATGTAGTTCTTATCATTCTAAAAAAAGGAATTTTGCTGCTTCTTTTGATATTTTATTTTCAATTAATAATCTAATAAAGGAAATACTTTATTAACAAAATAACATATTGGATCAAAGTGAAGAAGTTCTTAAGATATGAATGCTTAGACCCTACATTCACTTTACTTGTTTTAAATATTAATACTTAGCATCAAACCTAATAGCTTCTAAAGTAAAATAAGAGAATAACAATGAATTGTATTAAGAACTATGGCAATGGCAACACGTTCGATTCTTTTATGTTTCAAGCAAGAAAATTTCATCCACAACCTGCACTGACACAATCTTCTATATTTCTAAGGTTTCCTTGCCAATGATAGCTCTCCGCCATTCCAAATTCTCGTGCCTTCAATGTTGGAGTCTACAATGGGTATGAATTTATCGCTTATGTTGCTCCAACTTTAGATATGTTTTCACCATTCATTAATCTATTGAAGTCATCATTGAGATCCTTAATTCTTGTAATGTCTCTAATGATGATACAACTTAAGTGCTTCCCTCTAAAAAAAAAAAAAAAAAAAAAAAAAAAAAAAAACTTAAGTGCTTCCCTCATCCTTTGATTTTGGCTTCTTCTCAGGCAATTCTTTCATGTAAGTGGTCCTTGACATCACTCTTGATCATTCTCTAAATGATAAGTCTCCTCACAACTTCTTCTCCCACCTCCCTCACCTCCCTCACCTCCCTCACCTCCGTAAGAAATCTAATATGTTCCTATTATTACACTTTCAAATTTGGTTGTTAGTGCACAAGAAAGACTTAAATCTTTTAGCACCAAAACATATTTAGTGAAAACCTATATAAGACATTCTAAAACATATTTAAGTGAAAAGCTATTTTATTATATCTTCCTCAAAAATTTTAATACAAAGCATCTTAATGAGAAATAGAATATGACTAAATTTTCCCTCTTTTATCTTCTTTTATTTTAATTAAGGATAAATATTTAACCTAAAAAATTGAAGTTCTAACAAAATTTTATCCTATTAAACTAAAAATTATATATATATATCAATTCTTTATATCCGTAGTGTTTAATCCTTTATGGCCGTAGTGCCCCGCCGCCTCTGGCGATTTAGGGTTTTTTTTACTCCTCCCTTGCGCGCAATTGTTCCCTTTCAATCGCTTCTGTTTTTCTTGTGTTCCTCCGCTTTGCTTGCCCCTTGCGGGCGTGTCTGGATGGCTGGATCTCAGTCAGCTAATCCCTGGGGGTCTACCTCAGGAACTGAGAATGTCCAGAAAAAGGGTTTCTTCAACTTGGATGCGGGTGATCTTTCTTCGCCCCCTAAATCCAGATCTTTTAAGGATGTTTTGTCGGGTGAATCTTCTACAGGTGATGTCCTTCCTAACTTATCTCAAACTACATTCAATGGTGTTCCTGCGATCCTTTTGTCTGATGATGAAGTTCTTAAGCTTGCTACACCTTTTCAGTTCACCCTAGTTGGTAAATTTGGTATGAACAGACCTAACCTAGACTCCATCCGCTTGTTCTTCAATAACTTAAAGCTTTCTGGTTTTTTTTCGATTGGTCTTTTGGATTCAAGACACGTTGCTATACAACTCTCGAATGATCTAGATTACAGTAGAATATTTGCTCGACGCTCTTACTTTATCAATAACTGTCAATTGTGAATTCTTAAATGGACGCCATTTTTTGATATTAAAGAAGAATCGCCTATAGTCCCTATCTGGATCTCTTTTCCCAATTTACGTTTGCATTTTTTCAACACTAATGTTCTACATGCGTTGGGTTCCATCTTTGGGAGACCACTGCAAACCGATCAGGCTACCGCCTCTCGGACTAGACCTCTGTAGCTCGTATTCTAGTAGAAGTGGACATTACTAAGAAACACTCCAAGGAAGTTTGGGTAGGTTCAAAAGCATTTGGATATATGCAAAAAGTTGAATTTGAGAAAGTCCCGAAATTTTGTCCTCACTGTAAAATCCACGGGCATGCCTCATCGGAGTGTTTCAAACTGCACCCTGAGCTCAAAAAATAGGATCAGACGAATGGGAAGCATGGCTCCATCGCTAAACATTTTGTGCCCATCGGGAAGGTTGGTGAAGAAAAAATGATGGAGCCGCCTACCACGTCTGTTATGCCTAAAATCCCTATCGGTGGCTCCCAGGTTCAGGTGGATGACATGGCTTCTGATGGTGGGAAGCTTAACATTGATGAGGTTAACAAGGAAATGGAAATACCTCCTACGAATGCCGTTACTACTCTTTCGAATAGTGGGAAGAATCACAATGATGTTGTTAACAATGACACTGAAAAGGATCCAAAAATATTCCTTTCTATTGACTCTATGCTTAATGATCATGATGACTCTAATATTGAGAGTACGGATTTGAATGTCATTAATATTTATAAGTCTGTTACGTTTACTAATCCGATCTCTAATGATGATATTAACAGGGATATTTTGATAAATGTGGAGGCTAATAATGATACTTGTGATGAAGGAGAAATTGTGCCTTCTTCTGATGGTGAGCAAACCATTACTCAGTCTACTAATATTGTAAGTAATGCTATTACCTCTTCTCCTAATGGGGGTGCTCATAATATGAATGATGAAGAAGGTTTTTCTAAAGTTGGGAAAAAGAAAGGTAAGAATATTAAGAACTCTTTGCCCTCGAATCCTAGATCAACAAGAGCTCAAAATTCTTCTAAACATTTTAATGATTAACGCTCTTTTATGGAATGTGAGAGGGATTGGGGGTAAGGAGTCTATTGCTAAAGTTAAAAATCTTTCTAGAATGCATAATATTGTGATGTTAATTTTACTTGAACCTCTTATTTCTTCTACTAAGATTAGTTCTACTGCTACTTCTTTGGGCTTTTCTAAGTGTGTTGCCAACTGCTCTAACAAAATTTGGG